TGGGTGTGTACTCTCTGCTGTGAGTCTGTGCCCCTCTCGGCTGGGGCAGTTGCCTGATGAGTCTGACTGAGAGAGTCGCTGAATTTTGGTTTTACAGCTCTGGGCTCCCTCTGCATCCAGTGGCCCCACCTCTTCTTCATGGCTGTGTTTACGTTTCACTCTCCCATTCCCCTTGGCTCTGGGAATGCTCCTGGAACCTGCCTCTTCCTGCTGTCTGTCCCTCCGAGTTAATCGATACTCACACTCTGCTCGTTCCTTATCCCGTAACGGCACTCCCAGCTGTATCACATCTCCTTCACTTAACTGGTGAGGCTGCTGTGGTTCAATTCGCTCTCCATTCACCCACACTCCGTTCAGACTCTGTATCACAAACAGAACTGGTCAGAGGGAGGGAGCGCGGCGTTCACCCGGGACCCGCCCAGCACCCGCCCGCCCAGCACCACCCGACACACAGCACCCACTGGGCACACAGCACCCGCCTGGCACACAGCAACCACACAGCACCCGCCCGGCACACAGCAACCACACAGCACCCGCCCGGCACACAGCACCCATACAGCACACAGCACCCGCCCGGCCCACAGCACCCACACAGCACCCGCTCGGCACACAGCACCCGCACAACACACAGCACCCGCACAGCACCCGCCCGGCACACGGCACCCGCCCGGCACACAGCACCCACACAGCACCCGCCCGGCACACAGCACCCGCACGGCACACAGCACCCGCCCGGCACACAGCACCCGCCCGGCACACAGCACCCGCCCGGCACACAGCATCCGCACAGCACACAGCACCCGTCACGGCGCACAGCACCCACCCGGCGCACAGCACCCACCCGGCACACAGCACCCGCCCGGCGCACAGCACCCGCCCGGCACACAGCACCCGCACAGCACCCACCCAGCACACAGCACCCGCCTGGCACACAGCACCCACACAGCACACACTACCCACACAGCACCCGCCCGGCACACAGCACCCACACAGCGCACAGCACCCGCCCGGCACACAGCACCCACCCGGCACACAGCACCCGCCCGGCACACAGCACCCGCCCGGCACACAGCACACGGCACCCCCACGGCACACAGCACACAGCACCCGCCTGGCACACACCACCCGCACGGCACACAGCACCCGCACAGCATCCGCCCGGCACACAGCACCCGCCCGGCACACAGCACCCGCACGGCCCACAGCACCCACATGGCACACAGCACACAGCACCCGCACAGCGCACAGCACACAGCACCCGCCCGGCACACGGCACCCGCACGGCACACAGCACCCGCACGGCACACAGCACCCGCACGGCACCCGCACAGCACACAGCACCCGCACGGCACACAGCACCCGCCCGGCACACAGCACACAGCGCACAGCACCCACACAGCGCACAGCACCCACACAGCACACAGCACCCGCCCGGCACACAGCACCCGCCCGGCACACAGCACCCGCACGGCACACAGCACCCGCACGGCACACAGC